CAATGGCACTCGTGACACTACAATTTGTATAAATTTTCAGAAATGCTAAAGTCAAGAAGGGCATAAGACTGAAGAAGGCACTTATGGCTGAAGAAAATTTGAAACTTATTTAAAAAGCACAGTAAAAGACTCATTTTGTGTGTGTGGTCCGGTATTAATTTGTAATATACACGAAAATATACGAGTTCTCGCATAATTGCCAAATAAAAATTGAAACATTATATCCCTGAATATATGTAACAAAAATTTGAAAAAATTTAATAAAGACATCACAGAAGAAAAAGAGCAGTTTATAAAGTTTATTTTACGACGAAAAAGAATTATAATGTTTTTTAAACGTGAAGTTACGAGTATACGCACAGAATTTGTTTGGTAGAACATTTGTTTTGATATCTGTAATACATATTGTTTTAAAATTTTAAAAATTGGTAATTTGCATTAAAAAGAAAATAAAATATCATAATTAGTTAACAAAATAAAGTGAATAAAGGGCAATTAAGAGCTAAATCGCAGTAATTCGTGCGCAATTAAAAGTAAATATATATTCAATAAATTATCCAATTACATGTACGTTTCGGCTTCATTTAAGCCATCTTCAGCATATAATCTCTCATGGTATTACAATGTCTTAGCAGACGTATATAACTTCCTTCGTCATAATGAAGTAGTAGTATAACAAAAAGTAATCGAGTGCAGTGAGAAGTCTACAGATTACCAAGTCTGAAGCTTATATCCATCATTAAGTGATTCACCTAAGTGAAATATAAATGAATTAAAAACATGATACAACACCAGCAAAAATGCAATTTCATCAAAGTATATCTGCTTTGTTAGCGTAATATAAGAAATTTTTTCAAGGACATATTTTGCGGTGACATCATCAATGTAATATGATACAACACCCGCAAAAATGCAAGCATTTTAATGTTGAGCATCTCAGAGACACATCTCTTTCCAAAAAATCTCTCATTATCTAGAATTTTTATATTTTCCCAATCAAAATCATGGTCAAATTCAATTTTATGTTCCGAAACAACTGAAAAATTCCCACTTTTTTTATTAATGTCTTTTTTGTGTTCATTGATTCTAGTCTTTAACTTGCGACCAGTCTGTCCAACATAAGAAGCGTTACAGTCCTTGCAATTGATTTTGTAAACTACATTTTTCTTTGAGTCATGAGGCAAAACATCT